ACTGATTTTCAGCACTAGTGATTGGGAACCAACATTAGCTCGCCGGTCCTCTCAACGTCCTCATGCAGTAGCACCCCTTTTGCAGATGAGAAGACTGAGGTTCACATAGCTGTGAAGTGGTGGCACTGGGATCCAAAGCCAGATGGAGCAGGCCTCAAGGCCGGTGCTGTCAACCAACACAGATGCTGGAACTCCTGTTCTCATTGTTCTCCCTCACTTGGACCCGGTGATGCTTCTCATGCAGCCAGCTTCAGTCGAGGGAGCATTAACTGCCTTTCAAGGGAGCCTCTCCAGACCCACAGTGACCAATGATAACACATGATCATTGGGACCTCTGGCTATCACATGTTCTAGAACCCTAACACCCCAAAGCCAGGTCCACGGAGGCTTAGGTGCTGTGCTCAGATGGGCTGGACCAGGGCTTTCTCAGCTCCCAGCTGTGCCCCCAGCTCTCTAACTTGTCCCTCAAGGCCTGGTATTCCATGATAGAAGCTTCCTCAGGCTCCGCATTTCTAAAAACAGGGAGTTTTTGTGTTTTTTTTTTTTTTTACTGCTATAGTCAATGAAAGGGAGGCTTTATTGAAGCCCTAGGGCCTTGGGCCTTGGGCAGGAGGCCACCCTCCGGTCAAACGGGCCCTATTTGACCTTCTTGGGGCACAGTTTGTTGGTGTGGCTGCACTTCTCATGGCAGGTGACAGAGTGGGGGTGCAGGGAGCATTGTGGCAGATCATCTTGTCGCCGTTGTATTTCTGGGCCAGCTTACGGAGGGGAGGCTCGATGAGGCCACCCCGCAGGTGAAGCACCAAGGGCAGGGTTCACTCTTTCTGGATATTGTAGTCCAGCCATTTGCTTGCAAAAATAGATGCTGCTGGTCAGGCAGGATGCCCTCCTTGTCTTGGATTTTGGCTTTCCATTCTTGATGATGTCACTGGGCTCGACCTCAGGGGTGATGGTGTTGCCCATTGGGGTCTTCATGAGGATCTGCATCTCTGCGTCTGCTGCAAGGCTGCCTTCACCAGACCTTACCTGGCCACTCCGTTGAAGAGAAAGAGGGTGGCAGAACCTAAAAATATGTTAATTCTATAAATTACCCTGTGTAACGGGCATAGATTCACTGGCCAAATATGTTAGGGACTTTTTTATTCTATATCTGCTTCCAGAGTTCACAGTGATATTGGCATTGGAAAGCCCCAAGACTGCTGCAGTCTGGAGCGGTGTTTAACCTGAACCCAAGCCCAGAGTTCCCCGTACTGATTTGACCACAGATCTTCATTTCTTTTTCTCAGGGTATCTGTGAATCTGGTTCCCCAGCTACACGCTGGGGATGGCTGCCCCAGCTCAGGTCTCTCAGCCTCAGCTCTGTTGACATTCTGGGTGGGAGCACTCTTTGTCATGGAGGGCTGTCCACTGACCTGTAGGATTTTAGCAGCATTCCTGGCCTCTTCCCGTTAGAAGCCAGAAGCAGCTCCTCTCATCCCCAGAGAAAGTGTCTCCAGATTTCATCCATGAGCCCTGGGGCCAAAGAACCCCTGGGGACCCACCACTCTAACTCATGCCTTCTTACTAAAAGCAGTATTGCCCTCAAGGAGGCAAAAATTGGTTTTGGGGGGTGAAAAAAAAAACCCTTCTCTTTTTATGTATAAAGCACTGATATACACATACCACATCATAAACAGTATTAAGATTTCATGGGGAGGTGATTTAAGAAAAAAAATAACTGAAAAGACTCTTTGGGAGAGGTAATAATGAGCAAAGGGTGATAAACGTGGCTCTGGCTTGGTTTTTTCATTCCTTTTCCTGCAAACTCCTTAGGGAAAATGAGCTTTGTGGCTCTTTTAAGGCGAACTGAAGAGCTAAGCAACTGTAGACAGTAGAGGGGAGATGTCTGGAAGCCGGCAGAAGCTGAGGCGGTGACCGACAGAAGACAGGACTGCTGTCCGCCGCTTGGCTGTGACTGCCACATGAACTCAGAGGGACTCGGCCACGATCACTGTCAGTGGGAGCCCCACGACTTCCAGGTAGAGGGCTGTGGGGAGGGGTCTTCCTGTTGCAAAGGGGGCTTGAAGCTAGGTTGTCAGATGCCACGTTATACCCAGTTATTGAACGTGGTTGACTAAAGCCCTCCAATTCCCTCCTGGACACACACATTCACATCCGTGTTTCTCCCCTCTGGTTACCCTTTCTCCTGCATGTGTCTGGCCTCCCCCTCTGGCCTCCTCAGATCCCACTTGTTGGAGGATATGGCACATCGTGGTTGCCCACCACCGCACGACCTCTGGAGGCAAACAACGTACGGCCCACTGATCCAGAACATAAAGATCATTTCTACCGCAGGTAGCCGGCCGAAGGCAATTTTTTAAATTAAAAATCCAGAAAATAAATGTTTAAAAATCAAGAAGTTTCTCTTTTAAAAGAAAACTTACTTCATTTTCCTCTTTAATCTAGGAGAGAGCAAACCTTCCTAGCTTTCAGTTTGGGGAAATGAGTGACTCTTAGTCACTCGTTTTCTGCTTCTTACTTCTATCAAAAAAACCCACTTGAACTCAGCATAGATGGGTGAGGGATAGAGCTGGTGCTCACAGGAAGCCACGCACCCTTCAAAGGCACCTGTCTTTCTTAGCGCTGTGCTTCTTGAGCAAGCCTGGCACTGGCTCACGGACCTTCCTCAGAACCACTGTCAGAAAAGCAAGGTAAGTGGGGACGGGGCCATTCCCAGGGCCTCAGGCCACACACTGCTCTCTAGACACTGGACAGGTGTGTGGACTTTGGAAGTGCTGTAAGCTGGCCTGCTGCCCACCCAGTCCCAACACTCAGGCATCTCGGGCACTCTGGGGCTCCCAGCGGGCTCTTGTCTTGGAGCTCACACACCATCTACTTCTACTCACATCCTCCGAGCCCTCATCTGAGGGGCATTCGTAGACACAGGGCTCTCTCCCTGCGCACCTCTGGCCCAAGTCCCCATGCTCAGAATACACAGATAATTTTTATCAAACATCCACATTTTTCTGCTTCTTGCTTCTATCAAGATTCCCAGGTCAAGAAAGCAAATAAGGCTGATTCCCACCATTTACCAGCTGTGTTTCCTTTTTTTGTTCTCCTGATAATTTCCTAACTCCTCAGCTTCGTCTATTCCTTAACCTTTCACAGGCAAAATGGTGGAGAGAGACTAGGATTGTTATTTATTTAACTAGAATTGATAATCATTTTACAACATTGTTTCAGGGGCTCTGCAATGCCCCAGGTCTTCAGTTATCTGTTTGCAGGAGAAAATCCAAATCTCTCTCTTGAGAAACCAAACGTAGTTTGTCGTTTGAGTGTTTGGGCTTGTGGTGGTGAGGGTGGTAGGGAGGAGGTGTGAATTACCAAACAGTGTTGTAATAAGGAACACAGGCTGCCATTAAGAAGGAAGCAAGAAGAAGTAGCCTCGAGTCAGAAAGCCCTTCATCCCTGAATTGCTCTGATTCACACGTGAACATGTGAAGGTTTAAGAAGGTTTTTTGTTTTTTTTTTAAAGATTTTATTTATTTATTTGAGACAGAGAATGAGAGAGAGAGAGCACATGAGAGGGGGGAGGGTCAGAGGGAGAAGCAGGCTCCCTGCCGATCAGGGAGCCCGATGTGGGACTCCATCCAGGGACTCCAGGATCATGACCTGAGCCGAAGGCAGTCGCTTAACCAACTGAGCCACCCAGGCGCCCAAGAAGGTTTTAACTTTAAGAAGGTTTTAACCTCTTCACCTGCCCATTTAGATAGGAAATGAGGGTGGTTGGGAGATAGAGGGATTTCATTTCTGGCTGTGATGTGCCTTTTCGAGGTCTGTCAGGCTAATTCCCTCTGTGATGGGATTCCGTGCACAGGACTGATTTTTGCATGCAGTTTTGATGAAAAGACCAAAAAGTTCCCTCAAGTTACCATCTGAGTGCTGCAAAATGATCTGAGTGCTGCCGCCTTCAGAAGGGCCTTAGCATCAGCCTGGCCCAGAAGGAGCCTGGAAGGCCAGGCATGTTCCCATCTAAGATGGTGTTCTAGAATGAACAGGGGGCCTGGTAGTGTGTGCCAGAGACAACTTGCACCAACTCAGGACTGCAAAGATTCAGGAATTTTGTGAGGTGGTTGGTAGCTGGAATTTTGCCGTGGTGGAAATATCTGCACCACAGAAACCAGCAAACATCATAGATCAGAGTCCCCTACCACCCAACCAGCCCCTACCGGGACTTGGGGCCCAAAGAAAAGTTCTGCATATAGCTGTGTGGCCTCATTTAACCTCTCGGAAGCTTTTATGAGTCATCTACACCACGGTTCGGTATGCTTGCTTGGCTTAGAGCGCCCGATTTTTGTTGGGAGGGTGGTGGGGGACAGGAGCATGGAATTAGGATTCAATGCACAATACCAGGGAACGTACTTTGAAATCTATGTGTCAAGGTTGCAGGAGGAATTAGAATTTTTATATAAAGGCAGGTGACGAACCTTCTAGCTCAATGATTAAGCAATTCGTGAATTTTGGGAGCTATAATCTGAAGGGGAAACATGCGTAGATTTTTCATCTTTTTGTTTTTTCTTTTGCTCTTATGTCACAAAGGTGGTTCTGGGTGTAGGACTGTTGGAAATCTCAACTGGCCTGCAAATGATTCAGTAACTGCAGACTACTATTTAGAAATGCATCCTTGAAAACACCTCCTCAAGAAGGAGGTTTTTCTGTCCCCACTTACAAATGAGAGAACGGAAGCTCCCCTCAGAGGGATAGAAAAGGGGCAGAGCTGGAACGTGGAATCTGCTAAACTCCCAAGGGCAGGGTTCTTCCATTTGGCTGCACTGCCCTGTGGGGAATGGAGCCCTTCAACTTGGGAAGATTGGGAAGGGTGTGTGATGATCCGGGGCAAAATATTAAGCAACTATGCTCTGTATTCAGCACCACTTTGGTATGGTTTTGTTCTTACAGAAATCTTGTTTGCTCTTCCCCTCATTAGCTTCTGGTTGGGCTCAGACCTGAGCCAAGGTACTGGTAGATTTGAAAATGAACCCCACGGATATAGCAGACACCACCCTGGATGAAAGCGTCTATAGCAATTACTATCTCTACGAAAACATCCCCAAGCCTTGCACCAAAGAAGGCATCAAGGCATTTGGGGAGCTCTTCCTGCCCCCTCTCTACTCCCTGGTCTTTCTGTTTGGTCTCCTTGGAAATTCTGTGGTGATTGTGGTCCTGTTCAAGTACAAGAGGCTCAAGTCCATGACTGACGTGTACCTGCTCAACCTTGCCATCTCGGACCTGCTCTTCGTGCTCTCCCTCCCTTTCTGGGGCTACTATGCTGCAGACCAGTGGGTTTTTGGACTAGGTCTCTGCAAGATTATTTCCTGGATGTACTTGGTGGGCTTTTACAGTGGCATCTTCTTCATCATGCTCATGAGCATCGACAGATACCTGGCAATTGTGCATGCGGTGTTTTCCTTGAGAGCGAGGACCCTGACTTATGGGGTCATCACCAGCTTGGCCACGTGGTCCGTGGCTGTCCTGGCCTCCCTTCCAGGCCTTTTATTCAGCACCTGTTATACTGAGCACAACCATACCTACTGCAAAACCAAGTACTCTCTCAACTCCACGAGGTGGAATGTGCTGAGCTCCCTGGAGATCAACATTCTTGGACTGGTGGTTCCCTTGGGCACCATGCTGTTCTGCTACTCCATGATCATCAGGACGTTGCAGCACTGCAAAAACGAGAAGAAGAGCAAGGCGGTGAGGTTGGTCTTTGCTGTGGTGGCTCTCTTCCTGGGGTTCTGGGCACCTTACAATGTGGTGCTCTTCCTGGAGACACTGGTGGAACTGGAGGTCCTTCAGGATTGCACCTTTGAAAGGCACCTGGACTACGCCATTCAGGCCACAGAGACCCTGGCTTTCGTCCACTGCTGCCTCAATCCAGTCATCTACTTTTTCCTAGGGGAGAAATTCCGCAAGTACATCGTACAGCTCTTCAAAACCTGCAGGGGGCCGTTCATGCTCTGCCAATATTGCAGGGTCCTCCAACTCTACCCGCCCGACACTCCCAGCTCGTCCTACACACAGTCCACCGGGGATCACGATCTCCATGATGCTCTGTAGAAAAAGAAGAGGCAAAAGATGGAGTCGAGCATCCCATGTCAAGAGCTTAAAATTGTATTATAGTAAGAGTTCCTGAGCAAGTGGTGGGAAGGAGACTTACATCCACAGCCAAGGGCGGGCTTCTCACCCCACAGTCAGCTTTTCCTCTTGCCACAGGCGAGTTCAGTGCAGGAAGAGCTCATTGGGGCTGCGGCAGCCCTCCTCTCTCATGGCCTGCCTGCAGGGATGAGTAAACCGAAGGAGAGCGCTAAGCAGCATTTCAGTGAGGCTATCCATAATCCTGTAAGGGAAGGACCATTCATTCCCTTCTAACTCGAACTGATGCCATTCTCCAGGAGGAACTGTGGAGGATTGACTGGTGCAATCAATTACTACTCCTTGCTCCTTGATGTGAAAAATGGGCCCTTTTAATGAACTTCTAGCTTTTGTGGAACAATACAGAAAACTTTGGCATGCCGTCCTAGGGTTTTTCTAATAATATATCCGAAGCATGGTATATTCCCGGAAGCCAGGTGTACTCAGAAACAAATAGCAAAGTAATGAACCTGGATCTTGAGTCTTTTATTTTAAAGGATGATTTGTTAATGGAAGCCAAACTTTTGATGCTGATTACAAGTGTAAGGATGTGAAGGCATTAGCGTGGTCTGATTTCCAAACGTGAAATACAAGGCATTAAAAGATCCAAACACATTTGTGGAGATTCAAACACACTTTCAGAGAGCGAGGGAGGGAACACAAGCAGGGGGAGTGGGAGAGGGAGAAGCAGGCTTCCCGCGGAGCAGGGAGCCTGATGTGGGGCTCGATCCCAGGACCCTGGGATCATGACCTGAGCTGAAGGCAGATGCTTAACAACTCAGCCACCCAGGCGCCCCTCAAACACACTTTCATATGCTTGTGAGCATGTTTTGTTTTAATTATAACAGATGAATATTCAAATTTCACAAATAATACGTAGGTGCAGATACATTTATTTAGGGTCTCTTATTCGTGTACAAACAGAACCTTCAAAACTAAAAATAACGAGGGCTAATAAAGTATGACAATGCTTCCTTAATAAGTTTGAAGTGCCTGCCAATAAGCGAGGCAAGAATAATCAACTAACGGTTATTACTGATGTGGCATAAACTGGACCGTCAAAAAATTATGAAGTTGTGAAAAATGTCATCCTGTCTTTTAAAATATTGGCCTCCTTTTTAACTGTTGGATGACTCAAAATTTCAGTCATTTCTTACAAGTCATAATCATGTAATTAATTGTTTGACACCATTAAAATAAATTTCTGTTCTTCCAGCCTTAATTAATCAGAATTAAGTAGAGACTTTAATCAAGTCAGGAGAGACCTGTAATCCCTCCCCCCCAAAAAACCTGTCTTGCAAACTATTAACTGAGTTATCTGTTCAAATGTTTCTGTAAATTTACACATTATTACATGCTCTACATTTATAAAGGATGCATTTCCAGAAAGTTGGTTTTCAGAGAAGTGATTTTAGAAGGGTAAGTGGATGTTGCCTTTATAGACAAAAATAAACTTGCATATAGTCCCACAGAGCCTTTTTTCCTGATCCTGTTTGTATTTGGTTTCCTTTTTTTTTTTTTTTATTTATTTGCGAGAGATAGCATGAACAGAGGGAGAGGGAGAAACAGATTCCCCACTGAGCAGGGAGCTGGTCGTGGGACTCGATCTCACCACCCAGGATCATCACCGGAGCCCAAGGCAAACGCTTAACCGACTGAGCCACCCAGGCGCCCTGTGTTCGGTTTCCTGATGGGGCTGCAGATGCCAGCTGATGTGGGTGTGGTGCACTGGGCTGGCAGCGGGAGGAACCAGAGGGCAACCTGTCTAGGCGGCCACGTGGGGCTGGGGGGTGGCACCGTGGGCAGCAGTGGCCAGGAGGCTGGGATGCATGGCAGGGAGGGCTAGGCTGGGTTCATGGGCGGTTTCCCCAGAAAACCTCCCTTCGTGTGGCCTGCCCTGCCCGGCCTGCAAATCCTAGCTCTGCACTCCTGTGTGAACCTGAACACATTACTTTCAGCCTCAGTTTTCCCTCATCTGTAAAGCGGAATATATTCCAGGGTGATGGAAAAAAAGATGATTATTCCCTGATAGAGCTTCTAATGGTATTCATTTAATCACAGCAAGAGGGAAAGACAGATGGACTGAAGGGGTTTCACTGTCCCTTTGTCCCTCTGAGCACACAGTGGTAGACAGGGTGGGGTGCAGTCTGCCCGCTGCCGTCCCTCGTCCTGAGGGGGGGGTCATCCATCACCTCAAGACCCTCAGGTCTTCCCTTGTCCCAGAGCTTGGGCGGATTCCCTTAGGATGGGGAATTTGGAAGCTCCAGTGACACCCCGACATGACACTCTCAGAACACTGACAAGAAAGTGTCTTCCCATTCAGCACCAGAAACATGAAAACAAGCCAGCGCGATTTCCACACAAAGGTAGTACCACAAAGGGGAGGTTAACTCTCCATTCTCAGACACTGGACCCATCCCTTCCTCTTGGCAACGTGCCCAGCTTCTGGGGAACGCAGACTCGGTGCAGTTTGCTTAGGAACAACAGTCGTGGTGGTTACGCAACACCATGAACATACTACGTGCTGCTGAATTGCACGTTTTTAAATGATTAGTTTGATAGCCTGTGAAGTTTATCTCAAGAACCCTGGGCAATAGCCCTGTATCTGTCCCATAGCAGGCACTCAAATTCTACTGAATAAATACATGTCATCTTCTTCCTGGGAGAAGAAAAAAATACAGGGTGTTGGCAAATGGTCTTCAGACCCTTCGGGAGATTTTCCTTGAGAAACTCTCTTCATAGTTTGGAACATTGGCTGCAATTAGTTCCAGTTGGTTGAATGTCTATTTTGTCGGGTTATGGGGAGACTAACAGGATAAAGGAGGAAGCTTGTGGAATTTACAATCTGCTAAAGGGAAAACACAAACACTAGATCAACTCGAATGCAAGCAGGACAGATAGGACAACAGAGCAACAAACACAATGCTTTGGGACTTCCGAGGAAGGAGAAATGGGTTCAATTTCCAATTTCAGCATACAATTAGCTTTTAAAAGGACCGTAATTTTGTTTTTTTTTTTTTTTTAAGATTTTATTTATTTGACAGAGACACAGCGAAAGAGGGAACACAAGCAGGGGGAGTGGGAGAGGGAGAAGCAGGCTTCCCGCGGAGCAGGAAGCCCGATGCGGGGCTCGATCCCAGGACCCTGGGATCATGACCTGAGCTGAAGGCAGACAGCCATCTGAGCTACCCAGGCACCCCAGGACCGTGATTTTGATGAACAGAAAGGGGAAGGACATTCGAGGCTGATGGAAAGGCAAGTGGTGTTAAGAGCATACTGTGTGGTCGGCAGGGGTGGGGGGGGCAGTGGTTTGGGTAGTTAAAAGAGAATATGTGGGGGGTGGGAGGCAGCAGCAAAATAAATACTTGCCCTCTTGCCTTAATTTGGGACAACTCTGACAGGCCCTTCCAATTCCAAGCGCCCTGTACGATTAGCTGGGGCATCTGTTGCGGCCACACGCTAATGCAATTTTTCCTGTTGTTCAGTCTTGCTTCCTTCACGCCCTCATAGGTGTTGTTCCCAGGATGACTCCCCATTCAATCTGCTGTATGCTAATCTCAGAGTCTCAGAGGCTGTTTTCAGGAACCCCAGTCTACAACGAGAACTTCAGGATCACACAGGGGCAAGTGAGCCCCTAATACAAATGGAAATTGACCCCCAGGTGTGGGGGGTCTCTGCCCCGGGGATGTCCTTCATTCATTGCTCCCTGGCCATCAACCCCATCTGACTCTTGGTTCTTATGCTTCCATTTGTCAATTGCACCTTTGCTCCCATAATTTGCCTGCCTCACTCCCAGAGGCATCTCCCTTTCCACCACTGTTGTGGTCATGGACCATCTCCACCTTTGCTTGTGGGCAAGCAGCTCCCTGACATCCTATATTCCGTACCCATCAGTGACTTCCTGGACTCAAATGAACCAGACACAAGCTCCACCCATTTTTTGTGGTCACAATACTTTACTCCTTAAAAGCTCATAATGGCTCCAAATTCCCCTTTCAGAAAAGCAGAAATCCACCAAGTGCTTTCATATACTGAAACTCAACTGAGCTTCATTGTAAAGTAGATAAGGTTGGGTTTACCCCAAGAAACTGAGGTTCAGGGGGAATAATATTCTAATCATGAATTAAACTAACTCCAACAGTAACCACTACCTAACTGCCTAGCAAAATGCCTAGCACAAAGCAGTTGTTCAATTATTTTCTAGTGAATGAGTGAATTTCCTTATCTCTTAATTAAGCCCTCTATACTGGCAATTCAAGTTTCTATTTCACTACACAAAGTTCAGCAGTCTTCTCTCCAAAATCCCCACTATGTTTCTAATAAAACTTTGTGTGACAGAGTTCAAAGATTGATTGAATTGCCTCCTAGTTCCAGAAATCAGTGGGTGTTCTTTGGGTCAAAAATTACTTCATTAAAACTTTTGCTATGAGCACAATTGCAGAAGTCTGCATTTTCGCCTTCTCTAGGACCTATAAAATAACAGCAAGAAGAATGAATTAAAAAGCCCACAAACTCCATTTTTAAAAATTCTTTTTAAGTAGGCTCCACACCCAGGGTGGGGCTCGAACTCATGACCCTGAGATCAAGAGTCACATGTTCTACTGACTGAGCCAGCCAGGTGCCCCACAAACTCCATTTTCAGTCAAACTTGGAGAGAGATAGTTTCTCAGACTTCAAAATATATGTAAGAGCTACTAAAAGCAGCCACTCTCAGGCAAGAATTATGGGGGAGAAGGTGAAGAAAAGGGCAGTCCGAGGGGCGGCGGGACCGACTTCATACAGCCTGCAAACACCTGTTTCCTGAGGGAGGGGCGCACCATGAAGATCAGGAGCTGCTGACACAAACATGCTTAACAACCCAAAGCTAGTCACTAAGAAAAATAATACTATCATCAGGATAGGATAGAAGTGTAGGAATATAATATTTTATTACCATGACCCAATATATCGACCTCAGCTCAAAATGCTTCCTGGGGCACTCCAGAGGTAGTCCAGCTAAAAACAGATGAAAAGAAAGCCTGCTATCACTTCTACCAAACATCATACTGAATATGCTAGCTCCATGCTCTAAGAGAAAGAAATCAGTCGTATAAAAAGTGGAAAAGGGGGCAAGTTAACAAAATACCTGCACAGTACCTTTCAAAACTGAATGTCATCAAAAACAAGGGAAGTCTAAGAAATTGTCACAGTCAAGAGGAGCCTAAAGAGAGAAGACAACTAAATGAATTAGTTCTGGAACGGAAAAGGACATTAGCTAAAAACTAAGGAAATCTGAATAAAGTATGGGCATTAGTTAATAATAATGTATCAATATTGGTTCATTAAATATAACACACCATGCAGGGAAATTGCATGTGGGGTGCATGGGAACTGTTTGTACTTTCTTCGTGATTTTTTGTAAACTTAAAACTGTTCTAAGATTGGAAAAGAAAAGACAAAGTATCTCTAGTTGTAATGATAGTATTGAATAACTGGAAAACTCAAGAGAATCACCGGAAAGAACTATTATGAATAACAAGATAATTAAGTGAGTTAATAGGGGAAAGTGCTAATACATAAAACTCAATTATATTTATATTTACAAATAACTACTAGTTAGAAGATGTGATGGTAAACCAGACCTGCATTTTAAAAGA